TACACTCTACTTTACATTAATAACACACATACACAAGTGGCCTGAAACCTGCACTGTATTTGATGTCACTACACTCTACTTTACATTAATAACACACATCCACAAGTGGCCTGAAACCTGCACTGTATTTGATGTCACTACACTCTACTTTACATTAATAACACACATACACAAGTGGCCTGAAACCTGCACTGTATTTGATGTCACTACACTCTACTTTACATTAATAACACACATACACAAGTGGCCTGAAACCTGCACTGTTACCACTACATTTACCAACTAAACAAATACAAATTAAATTTAAAAAAGAGCAAGCAAAAAATTGCATACTGTTTCCATTAATATCATTAAAACAACAGTAATATCATGCTTTCCAGGATTTCCATATCCTGTACCGACCCTAAAATAAAATACCAAATGTTTCTGTATAATGAAATACACAGATCAGTGTAGCTGTATAATGATATATAATTATAAACCATTCGCTACGATCAGGTTTACTTCACAGAAGATGTACTTGGATAATTCAACAAATCTGACTCATCACCTGCTTATAAGATCTTTCTCACATTACGTATACAATACAATTAGGAGTAACCTATCCTAATGATAGAAATAACTGTTTATTTCTATCAGTATTTATTAACTATATTACCTTCACACAAAAAACAATTCTAATACCAATTAACAAAAGAAGTACTTACAGAAGAGTTCCAGCTAAGGCCAGTAGTATGGTACTTTTTAATGTAGGCTTGCAAATCATTCAGAAACTGTAGCCAGTTACGGGCCCAGTCAACATGGGTTTTCTCTCTACAGTAGGAAGAACTACAAAGTTAACTGCATAGGCAACAAATATATCGAAATTAAAAGATAGGTTCGACAATCGCCAAATTCTTTTATATTATTATTTTAAGAGGATGCTGTTTCGAGTAAGTGTTCTTCGTCAGATGGTTGTAAACTGTATGATCTGATGAAGATCACTAGTTCAAAACAATATATCAATAGCAACTGTGATAAATAACTTACTTGTCTTTGTAGTCCATTAATACTCTGTTGGTATAAAACTGACCAGCATCCAGCATTTCTTTCACATATGGTGCTGGAGCTGGAGCCTTAAAAAGAAGGAAAAACACATTCAGTAACTAATGTTGACCTGCCATTTATATAAACTTAACTTTAGAGTGATTTTATAAATATCCTATCAGTTAGTTGTTAATACTTATTTGTCAGGTATCCTATCAGTTAGTTGTTAATACTTATTTGTCAGGTATCCTATCAGTTAGTTGTTAATACTTATTTGTTAGGTATCCTATCAGTTAGTTATCAATACTTATTTGTCAGGTATCCTATCAGTTAGTTGTTAATACTTATTTGTCAGGTATCCTATGAGTTAGTTATTAATACTTATTTGTTAGGTATTCCAACAGTTAGATGTTAATACTTATTTGTCAGGTATTCTATCAGTTAGTTGTTAATACTTATTTGTCAGGTATCCTATGAGTTAGTTATTAATACTTATTTGTCAGGTATCCTATCAGTTAGTTGTTAATAATTATTTGTCAGGTATCCTATCAGTTAGTTGTTAATAATTATTTGTCAGGTATCCTATCAGTT